AAGGTACCAAGGGCAGGTCCAGAAAGGGCTATGTCATCATGTTTGTTGGTGGGGAGGGATGGAGTGAAGCCAGGGGAAAGAAAGGCATCCTGGGTGCTGAATGAGGGGTTATTTCTTTCAAGCTCCCACAAGGAGACAGAGAACGAGCAGCGAGCGTTGGTCTGATGTTCCCTGCCTGTCCTCCTCCTCTTCTCCTCTGCCTCCTCAAGTTTCTTGACCTTCCCCCAAGCCTGTTCCGACTCTCGGGACTTTTGCAGAAACCCACAATCAGACCAACTGATCTTTCTGCCTCTCACATTTCTCTTTTCCATCTAGATTTCCTGGAATTCGAGCTTCCCTTGACAAGTAAGTGATCCCAACACATGCCCAACCATTAGATTGACCTAAAGTACCCAACACGTGCCCAACCATTAGATTGACCTAAAGTGCCTCCTTTCCCCCTTCTCCCATCCTGGTCCTACCACCAGGCGTTGCCTGGAGGGGTCCCAACTGGGTCAGAGTGGTGGGAAGGGAGAGAAAAAGCCCTGTTTTCCCCCAAATCTGCTGCCATGAGCCTGACTCTCTCTTCACCTCCAGCTCAGATGACGCTGGACCCAGAGACGGCCAACGCCAGGCTTTATCTGTCGAAAGACTGCAAGCTCGTGCGGTGGGAACGCCGTGAGCAGGACCTGCCCTCCAACCCAAAAAGGTTCATATTCAATCCGTGTGTGCTGGGCTCGAGGGGCTTCACATTGGGGTGGCACCGCTGGGACGTGGAGGTCCACAGAGAAGGCACATGGGCCATCGGGGTGGCCAAAGAGTCAGTTCCAAGGAACAGTTCGTTTTTCCTGAGGCCCAATGAGGGGTTATGGGCTCTCTGTCATCTCCGAAAAGAGTACAAGGCTATGACCTCTCCTGATGACACCCCCTTGACTCTACACCGTGTCCCCAAGCAGATACGAATCTACTTGGACTATGAGGAAGGGAGGGTGGTGTTTTTTGATGCTGAGAGCAAAGAACGGATCTTTGCTTTTCCACCGGCGTCTTTCCAAGGGGAGAGAGTCTTCCCGTGGTTCATGGTGACGGGGGATGCTCAACTCAAACTTCTTCCCTAAGGCACAGAACAAGAAAAAAACCCAACCCCCAAAGCCCTCGAGAAAGCAGGGGCTGGGTTTTGTCCCAATCCCACCAAAGGGACAGGAAAGGGGAGCAGTGTTCAGATTCCTTCCCTTTAGTGCAAACTGGGAGCATTTCTGTGCCTTCAACTCTATTTTGATCTTTCAATCGCTGTTTAATCACTACATGGCTGTTACATGGTTGCTGCAAACTTGCCCTGTTGGGGAGTTAAAAGTAAAAGTTCAATTCTAAACCATTTGTCCCTTGTGTGTGTGTGCAGTTTATCTCGGGTTTATTATTTCCTGTGGGGTTTTCCTTGGAAGTTGCTTAAGAGAACTGGAGGAAGGAAAAGTCATCCTGGTCCCTCTCCAAAACCCACTGCACGGGGAGATGAGACCCAGGGGTTCAGGAGAAGGTCCATCAAATCCTCCTCTTGTCCCCAGACATCCCTGTTCGGGCAAGCAGATCAGAGCAGGGTGAG